TTGTTCCTTCTGCTTGCTATTTTTTTAAATTGTTTTTAAATAGACTTTATTTTTTAGACCAGTTTTAGGTTCACAGCAGAATTGGGTGAAAGTATAGGGCGAGCTCTCATATACACCCTGACTAATGCTCCTCCCCAAGATCCCCACTATCAAGAAGCCTCACCTAAGTGGCACATTTGGACATATGAATCTTCATAGACGCATCATTATCACCCAAAATATTGGGGGAAGCAGCAATGGAGGAAGGGCTTACAGCGTGCCTACATAAACTGGATATGAGTAATGTATAAATACACTGCTTCTAAGTAATGTATAAAAGAAATCAGGAACAATAAACTGCAGAAGGCTGAGGAGGCCTCTGGGGAGGAAGGCCTCTCTTTGCCAGCATGTTCCCAGGAGCAGAGCGACTTAAGCTCTGATATTCTGAACATAGTGCCCAAGGACATCACACTCCCTTAAAGCACTGAAGTGTAACTAGCTGTGTAGGCTCCTTGCTAAGCCGGCTCCCACCAGCTGCACTGTCTGTTGAAAAGTGTACACTTTTAGCGCTTGAGAAACGCACATAAACAGCCACTGCAGTCAATTTTATGTTTGACGCACAGCCTCCCTTCACCGATTCACCCTGCCACCGCACTATAGACAAAAGTGATTGTGTTCAATAAATATTGTGGAAACCAGAGCCCGGGGCCTTCACTGCCTCCAGAGTAAGAAGTGGTGGTCCCCTGGTCCCACTAACTCTCTTTATCTGTCTTTTTCTCATTCCTTTGTCGCCACCGAACTCGGGGTACCCAGGGGTGGGGTGTGGGGGCTAGTTCCCTAGACCAAAATCCATAGTTTACATTAGGGTTCTCTTGGTGTGGCACATTCTATGGGTTTGGAAAAATATATAATGCAATTTGGAGATTGATTATTGTTCACCAGACATGTGGATTGGCCCAGCTGGGACACAAACTGCCTGGTCAGTCCCAACCTACCAGCTTTGAACTAGGGAGCTAAATAGATCTGAATTGTTTTAAGCTACTGAGGTGGTTTATTAAGATGTATATTTGTAGCAATAGATAACTGATATGTTCACTAAAGTATCACTCATTCTACTTCAGCAAAGTTAGCGTTTTGCTATTATTCTAATACATAAGATAAACACACCAAGGTCTTTGTGGGCACCATTTCCTATGTTGGAATGACTTTACCTAGATATCCCCATAGCTAATTCATTTTCTTTCCTCATATTTTTGCTCAAATATAAATTTACTCCATTTAGAAATTGAAAATGAAAACATGGGAATACTTAGTGTTACCCCCCACTACCCTCTCCTAAAGACACAGGATTCAAGGTGCCAATTTGGAAGCAGAGACCTGGTCTTGACCAGCCATGGAACATTCTGGAACCTGAATCTTGCACTCCCAGACTCCAGAACTGGGAGAAAAATAAATTTCTTTATAAATTACTCAGTTTCAGATATTCTGTTATAGCAGCACAAATGAACTAAGGTTTTCTACCCTTAAATGCTATGATTAATCAGTTATAGCTCATATATTACAAATATGTTCTGAGACAGACTGAAGGGTAGGTTCTTACAGGAGAACATGAGGTTGTAATGAAAAAAATCAACTTAGAAAAAGCTTTCATGAAAGAAGTTGAGGAATGTACCTACAGTAAACATGAAAATAACAAAAACAAAAAAATACCCTTTTTCTTGACAACAGACAAAACATTCATTTGAGAGAAGGATCGCCTAGAGGGTACATGATAAAGCCCTGTTGAAGAATACATATGCCCTCTTCTTTTCCTGCTTTGAAATAAAATCTTCTTCCAGTCTTTTCTATTTCTTCATGTAAAATATCCATTCAGGCCTGCTCTCTCTTATAATACCTACTAATAACATTTGAGAACATAGCCTTGGAAATAAAGTCTTTTGTTTTTTGGAGGGGACAGGGTCTCACTCTATCGACCAGGGTATAGTAGCACCACCTCCTCTCACTGCAACCTCCACCTCCAGGGTTCAAGCGATTCTCCAGTCTCAGCCTCCGGAGTAGCTGGGATTACAGGCACATGACACCACTCCCGCCTAATTTTAAAAATTTTTTAGTAGACACAGAGTTTTTACCATGTTGGCCAGGCTGTCTCAAACTCCTGGCCTCAAGGGATCTGCCCACTTTGGTCTTTCAAATTGCTGGGATTACAGGCATGAGCCACAATGACACCTGGCCATAAAATTTTAATTAACAGAATCATTCATGAAAAAATGTAAGGGCATGGTCCCTCCTCGTTGAAGCTATGGAATTACAATTCTCCTTCATGAAGACAATCAAAGGATGTGATCTAATGTGTTAGATTCTCTCTCTCCTCAAGTGATTCTCGTGCCTCAGCCTCCTGAGTAGCTGGGACTATAGGCATGTACCATGGCCAGCTAATTTTTTTGAATTTTTAGTGGAGGCGGGGTTTCACCATGTTGGCAAGGCTGGTCTCAACTCCGGACCATTGGTGATCAGCCCGACTCGGCTTCCCAAAGTCCTGGAATTATAGGCGGGAGCCACCGCGCCAGGCCATGACACCCATTTTCTTATTGTTGGAATGCTATTTGGCACTCTTCCCAATCCCACCAGTAATATGATTTATTCTGTGCTTCTTAGGCTTTTTATTCATATCTGTACTGCAACATTTTTCATCTTACTACAAAGTGTGCTTTACTAATAAAGGGGTTCTTTACACTATTTATTTATTAATGGACAACACACACATAGGATTCAAAATTCAAGACCAAAAAAAGATTACAATGAAAAGATCTTCCATCCAACCCTGCCTCCAGGACATTCAGCTTCCTCTTTCCTCAGAGGCCACGGTTGTTAGCAATTTACCTAGTATCCTTTCAGAAACATTTAACATTTATATATACACACAAATACACACAAAATTCTACTGCACATTATCATATATCTTGCTTTTTTTGCATTTGACAGTAAATTTTGGATCAGCCCATTATTAGTACCTGAAGAGGCTGTATAGTAAACACTGGTTATAAATAGGGATTCTGAAATCAGACTGCTGGTTTTCAATCATATTTTCACTATTCCTTACCTGTTATCAACCTAAGGAACAAACACAGAGGCTCTCTAAAGGAAAATATATGTTTTTGGGAATAAAGCATTGCAGTGGGGATCCACATGCTATAAAGTACATGTGTATTCAGGGAGGTAAAGGAAGGCAAAGGTTTTTAAAGAAAAAAATGAGGAGGGTTACAATAACAAGGGTGATGCCTGTCTGAGGTTCGGCAGGCATTTATTGGGCAGATGGCATTGTAGAAGTATTTTATTGTGTAAGGTTTTCATGGCCCATGTTTAAGGTTGTGGTTCTTACAGTCTTTTGTAGCAGTTTTTGTTAATGGGCATATAAGCATGAGAACCTTCTCTTCATGGCCTTTCTTGGCTCTATTTGTCAGAATTTTCTTAACATTAGTGATTTCATTTGGATTGATAACTTTCACACTGTACAATTTCACACTTGAGGCAATTCACGCAAACTCTCTGAACCCCCATTTTATGTTCTGTAAAATGGATATAAAAATAGTAATTTATCATAAAGTTGTTATTAAAGTTAAATGATTTACTGTATGTAGAGAGCTTTTTAGGACATTTATCATGCATGTAATAAGCAATAAATAATTATAAAAAGCAGCCTTTTTTTCTAACTAGAATGTATTGTAAGTAATTGCTAATCAGTCAAATTGCTTCTAGTCTTATACTACAAATTGTGCTACTCAAGACCCTGTACATGTTATTTTGCATATTTTCATAAATGGTAACTTCCTAGGGGTAAAATTTCTGATCTAAAGATAGGTACATTTAAAAATTTTGAGATTACCAAATTTTCCTTTATGAAAGCACTACCAATTTGCGGAGGCGCCAGCAATGATTGAGGATTAAGGTCTGGGAGCCTTATTCAGGATTTTCCATTCCTGTAGCAGAATACTATGACTGGCTTATGATGAATAGCAGAAGCTTAATAAAATGTTAGTAAATTAGATGGTAAACATTATAAGAAAAATAGTTGGGTTTGAGTAACAGCAAGAAAAACATTTAAAAGTCTACATTGCCACCTTTTGATAGTAAAGTCATTTGCAAATAGAAGGCAAGATGTTAACCTTTTACTGATTACTTTCTTTCTTTCTTTTTTTTTTTTTTTTGTTTGAGACAAGGTCTGGCTTTATCCTCCAGGCTGGAGTGCAGTGGTGCCATCTCAGCTCACAACAACCTCCATTTTCCAGGCTCAAGCCATCCTCCCACATCAGCCTTCTAGGTAGCTGGGACAACGGGCGCGCCACTACTCCTGGCTAATTTTTGTACTTTTTGTAAAGACGGGGTTTTACTATGTTGCCCAGGCTGGTTTTGAACTCCTGGGCTGAAGCTATCCGCCCGCCTCCACCTCCCAAAGTGCTGGGATTACAGGCATGAGCCATCTCGCCCATGCCTCATTTCTAGTTTAGTCGGAAAGATTAAAAAAAAAAAAAAAAAAAGTCAGACTTGTTTCCCTAGTGCCGTTTTTGTGTTTACCTTGGGTCGTTTGTCGTGCCTCAAAATCATGCCTGGTTGCTCGAGTGCGAAGGGACTAGGTGAACGGGACGCCGCCGCGCGGTGCTACCAACATCCAGACATCGCGAAATCCACAATCCGGAGACTATCCCGCGGTGTCAAACGCATTTCTGATCTCATCTTCTTAACACCCGTGGATGCTGAACGCATTTCCGGGTAACGTGGATCCGGGTTACACGGAGCAAGCAAAGCACAAGTCACTGCTATGGACCTAGCTTATGCCCTCAAACGCCAAGGTCGGACCCTCCATGGTGTTGGCAGCTATATGCCCGTAACTCGTGTACTTTTCACTTGAAAAGGCTTTCCAAGAGGTAGATTAATTTAGCGAATAGATCAACAAACTCCATCATGACCTGTCACCCGCAGCTACAGGAAAAGCGAACCAGCTCTTCTGTAGATTATAGTGAGTGGCTCTGAAAAGAGCCTTTGGGTTTGACAAAGAGTTTCAGAATTTACTTGGAGCTGGTGTACTTGGTGACGGCCTTGGTGCCCTCCGACACGGCGTGCTTGGCCAGCTCCCCGGGCAGCAGCAGGCGCACGGCCGTCTGGATCTCCCTGGAGGTGATGGTCGAGCGCTTGTTGTAATGCGCCAGGCGGGAAGCCTCGCCCGCGATGCGCTCGAAGATGTCGTTGACGAAGGAGTTCATGATGCCCATGGCCTTGGAGGAGATGCCGGTGTCGGGGTGCACCTGCTTCAGCACCTTGTACACGTACACGGAGTAGCTCTCCTTGCGGCTGCGCTTGCGCTTCTTGCCGTCCTTCTTCTGCGCCTTGGTCACCGCCTTCTTGGAGCCCTTCTTCGGGGCGGGAGCGGACTTGGCCGGGTCAGGCATGGTGAGATAACGCTGGCAAAGAGCAGAACAAGAACGTGGTCTCCTCTTTTTATGTAACGGTTTATGCGGAAGAGGTGGGGGAAGGTCTCTGATGATTGGTGGTTATCCGCGGATGACGTCAGATGCCAGCTCTGCCCAATCACAATAGGCATCCTGCGCAATTGAGTCCCATTGGACTAAACAAAAATGAAACGTTGGCCAATGGCACAGCTTCCTTTTCGCGCCCAGCAGAGGCTATAAAATTTGCGTTTTCTGTTTTTCTCCCAGTCGTTGCTGACTGTACTTACAGGGCTATTGCCATGTCCGGACGCGGCAAGCAGGGCGGCAAAGCCCGCGCCAAGGCCAAGACCCGCTCTTCTCGCGCTGGTCTCCAGTTCCCCGTGGGCCGCGTGCACCGCCTGCTCCGCAAGGGCAACTACGCCGAGCGGGTCGGGGCCGGCGCGCCGGTCTACCTGGCTGCGGTGCTGGAGTACCTGACCGCCGAGATCCTGGAGCTGGCGGGCAACGCGGCCCGCGACAACAAGAAGACCCGCATCATCCCGCGCCACCTGCAGCTGGCCATCCGCAACGACGAGGAGCTCAACAAGCTGCTGGGCAAGGTCACCATCGCGCAGGGCGGCGTCCTGCCCAACATCCAGGCCGTGCTGCTGCCCAAGAAGACCGAGAGCCACCACAAGACTAAGTAAAGATCGAGCCTGAAAGCGCATGAAACAAAGGCTCTTTTCAGAGCCACCTCATTAATCATAAAAGGATGACACAACTCAGGTTTTCAGTTGCTTTACCACTCCATGATACACTCTTGAAGTTTGGGTTTCAATCTTCAGTCTCTCTGTCTACGTTGCCAGAACTTCGAGATTTTTTTTTTAAATTTAGCCCTTAATGTAGGTATTTACGGGGCGCCTTAGCTAACATGTATTTTCAGGGGTTTTGCCGTGGTGGTCAGGCTGGTCTCAAACGCCTCACCTCAAGTGATCCACCCCACCCGCCTGGGCCTCCCAAAATGTTGAGATTACAGGCGTGAGCCACCGCGCCAGGCCAGCTTGTGGTAACCTCATAGAAGATCAAGGCACTTTACTGGGACAAAACTTTGACAATAAAAATCCAAGCTCTTATTAAGTTAGAGTACTGGTGGGTTTCATAAATGTTCTGGGAAACTCACTGAGGCGCAAGGAATAGAGTATTTGGTTTTTTAATATGCTTACTAGGAAAATCACAGGTTGCTACTACACAGTATACTTCTTTATAGTTTTTTAATCTAGATGGTAAACTTGAGGGTGGACTCCTCAGCCTCAGCCCTATTTCCTTGCCTCTAGGAAAGGAGGTATATTTAAACAAATATACCTCCTTTGTTTAAATATAAACAACTCAAGAGGTATATTTAAACAAAAACATGCAATTATGTTTGCCAATGTGTACATGGGTCATGTTTTGTGTTTTTAATTTTTGCACTTGAGTTTGGAATAGAAAAAAAAAAAACTGGCATTAGAAGTCTTAAGGGTCTTTACAACATATACATGTTCTGTAGTGACCCAATAATCACATGTATATATGTTAGTGCACTGCTGAAATAACATGTTAAAAATAATAGTTACCTTCATTGTATGTGTTCTGATACTCTTCTGTTCAATTCTGTATTTAGTTACCCTTTTTGTATCTGGGTGTTCTCATGTTACAAATGTATCCCATAAACGTTGTTACAATTAGTAAATGAGTTAAATACTTAGTAACTGCCAGATAAGTAGATGGCCAAGCACAGTAGTCTAAGCTGGTGATGATTCATGATAAGGATGGTACTGAATACTTACCAAGTTGATTCTATGAGTATTAATGCGTGAACACCTACACTTGCAAAAAATATTATCTCTTCTGAGAAAAAACAAAGGCTGTTTTGAGAACAATGAGGTCAAAGTTTCTCATATTATCCTTTTTTTAATTTTGTTTTTTGTTTTGTTGTTTTGTTTTTTGAAACAGGGTCTTCCTCTCACCCAGGATGGAGTGCAGTGATATGATCTTGACTCACTGCAACCTCTGACTTCTGGGCACAAGCAATTCTCCCACCCCAGCCTCCTGAGTGGCTGGGACCACAGGCGCTCGCAACCATGCCCAGCTTTTTTTTTTATTTTTGGAGAGTTGGGGTTTCGCCACGTTGCCCAGGCTGTTTTCAGACTCCAGGACTCAAACGATCAGCCCGCCTTGGCCTCCCAAAGTGCTTGGATTACAGGTGTGAGTCACCACGGCCTGCCTATTGTCCATATTTCTATATGGGCATATCTTTGAAAATAATTGGAACATTTATGCCACTTACCAGTTTTGCATCTCAGGAAAGTCAGACACAAGAATTATGTCCTTTTTTCGGGGGTTTTGGTTTGTTTGCTTTGTGTTTTTGAGACAGAGTTTCCCTATGTCACCCAAGCTGGGGCACAGTGGTGTGATCTTGGCTCACAGCAACCCTGGCCTCCTGAGTTCAAGTTGCTCTCCTGCTTCAGCCTCCTGAGTAGCTGGGACTACAGGCACATGCCACCACACTTGGCTAATTTTTTTTGTATTTTTAGTAAAGATGGTGTTTCACTATGTTGGTCAGGCTGATCGAGAACTCCTGACCTCAAATGAGCTTACTTGGATGATTAACAGACTATTGTAATTCAGTACATAGAATGTTTTGAAAAGACATAGTATTCATTTCCACATAACTGGAACTACTCACTATCCTCTAAATAAATAATGCCTCATGTAATCATAACTGAAAAGTTAATTGGGAGTATATTTGCTGCATATCTCCAGGAGAGGATGCACTACCCAGCCAGCAAGAGTGCTGCTCAGTACATACCAGGCAATCTCTGTATGAGCACTTCCTGATTTATTACTAGCTCTTAGTTTCCCAGCACAGAAAGAAGGAATGCACTTACACACTCAATAATACCAACAATACCCATCAGTTCAGCAGTTGCCCCCCTAAGTGTCCTAGAGGCATTGCTTTCCTCCTCCAAATACAGTATCTTCCTTTTCAGAAGAAAGCTAATTTCTGAGAAGGGAACACTTTATTTTGTTTTGCCTAGGGTGTTGATTCCAATAAAAAGAATTAAAGCTTTATTTTAATTTGTAAAATATTAATTATAAATTATCGTTGTAAATTCCATCTGTGGAAATATGGAATCACGGACCCACACACAAGATGAGGATGAGCAGATTGTGAAGGTTGCAGTAGTGATGTTGTTACGGAATTTCCAAAAAAGTATATTAAGAATGTAACCAATTCTAATAAGCAAACACACATAAGTAACCAACTAAAACAAGATAAACTTGCTTTTAAAAACTCTAAAAATACTATGATCTTTCCACTTACAAGCTTCAAACACTAAGCTGAGGAGAGACAGATGAAAACACACATACACAAGCCAACTTACCAGGTAAATTCTTGAATACTTATGAGAATGCAAGAGAGTTCACAGAATACAAGTTACAGAAACCTAGCATTCTGAAAACAAGAATGGATGAGGTAAGGGCTGTCATGGCCTACAAGTAGCTGATTTTAGCACACCTAGCAAGCTGATGTATTTCTTTCATTTGGGATTTTCCATGCAGTTGTGTTTTCTTACTATCATATAGCCATGCATTCATTCATTTATCCAAAAAATACTGATCAAAAGCTGCTATGTTACTGGAGATATGCAAGTAAACAGAAATTCCTCCTCTCATGAGCCTGTATTTTAGAACAATCAGACAATACACAGCAAACTATGGTACAGCATATAGTGACAAAGTCTAGCGTGAAAAAAAAGGTAGGGATTATATAGATTTCATTTAGTCATACAAGGCCTCAGTGAGAAAGAAGGTAACATTTAAGCAAAGACCTATTTTATCCTATGCTCAAAAGAACTGGCTTCCATACGAAGCAATCTTAATTTTGGATACTCCTGAGACAGTTCAATGTTTCAGCCACTGTCAAAAGTCAACAGAGAAAACATTTCTCTCACATATTTTCACAGCTGGGGGCTTCCAAGGGAATATTCTCTGGCGGGCTCTCCCTCCAGACGACTTTTGACCCCAAACCATCTATCATTAACTACACATAAGTAGTTTAAAAAGGCCCAAAATACGGCTTGAAAATTTCAAAAAGTTAACACTGCTTAGGAAGCGGGGGGGGGGGGGGGGGAATATTTTTACTTTAGCCAGCATGAGCTACATTAACCTGAATTTTTCCAACTTCAAGACCTTCCTTTTCTTGTTGTGTTGGCAAGAAATGCACACAGACCACAGTACAGGTTAGTAGAAAATTAGAAGCACCATCCAGTCAAAACTGGGCGCGGGAGCCGGGCGGGTAACACATGAAGGAACTTAATGGCTACACCCAATGCTTACAGAAAGATGCCGGATATTTTCAACCGTTAAGACTCCCCAAATTAGCATTTTAACAGGCCGAGCCTTAGAAAACATATTGTATAACGTCTGGAAACAGGCCCTATCTATTATAGGCGAAACAAGCACCAGGCAGGAATAATTCCTCAGAGAAACAGATCTTTTTAGCGCGCACGTGGATGGCTCTGAAAAGAGCCTTTGGGTATGTAATGGGTGAGTCCTTGAGACTCAAGCTCTCTCGCCGCGGATGCGACGCGCGAGCTGGATGTCCTTGGGCATGATAGTCACCCGCTTGGCGTGGATGGCGCACAGGTTGGTGTCCTCAAAGAGCCCCACCAGGTAGGCCTCGCAGGCCTCCTGCAGCGCCATCACCGCGGAGCTCTGGAAGCGCAGGTCGGTCTTGAAGTCCTGCGCGATCTCGCGCACCAGGCGCTGAAAAGGCAGCTTTCTGATCAGCAGCTCGGTGGACTTCTGGTAGCGGCGGATCTCGCGCAGGGCCACGGTGCCGGGCCGGTAGCGGTGCGGCTTCTTCACGCCGCCGGTGGCCGGGGCGCTCTTGCGGGCAGCCTTGGTGGCCAGCTGCTTGCGCGGCGCCTTGCCGCCGGTGGACTTGCGGGCCGTCTGCTTCGTCCGCGCCATGCCTTCAGAGCTGGATGCACTTAAGGGGAAACAGAAAGCTAGCCGCTTATTTATAGTGAGAGTCTAAAGCTGATTGGACAAAAGTATGCTGAAGACCCACCCAACTGTAACCGGATTGGCCAAGGACTCGAACTTTTGTTGCTCACCAATTCCTGACAGTGGTAGCGGTTCATAGCCTCCATACTATTTTATTTTATATTTTCGCTACAGTTGTTCGCTGTATGAGCGACTTCCAGTGGAGATAAATAAGAACATAAGTAATTCACATTTATCTAGGAGCGACATTAGAACAAAACAAGGAAAAACTAATTTTAATATTTTGCTTAATGCAATATAGCCAACATATTTCAATATGTAATCAATATAAAAACGGTTACGTATTTTACACTTTAGGGCACTGATTTTTCCAAATCCAATGTGATTTTACATAAAATTCAGCCTACGGGATTTCCAATGGTCACTATCCACAATTGGCTAGTGGATACAATACTGGACAGCACAACCATAGATACCTCTCCCTCCCCTCAATTTTCTATTATTTCACCGCTTAAATTCTTAAAACTTTTGCATTTTTTTAACCAAGAAAAGCTGATTAGCATGTGAGAAATTCAAGGTCTAAAAATGTCAAAGAAAACCTTTTGTGAAATTTTCACGTTCAGATTAAAGTAATTCCATTGCACCTTAACTGACTTTTCTTA